ACGACAACACAGGAGGGGGGGGCGAGAGAGGGGGGCGAGCAAAAGAGGGTGTGCAATAAGCCAAGCGATCCAAGTGTGATAAATACCACCGCTGTTGACTTGTTCCCCGGATCTGTAGTTGTAACCACAAGGGGGAGAGGAAGCTCCACGCGGAAGCGAGGCGACCGGCTTCTAGGGCACCGTTCTTGTCTGGCTGGTGTCCTGTAGCGCGGCCGCTCAGCCACCACCAAGGTGCCGCTTGTAACATTTTTTGTCGAAAGCCTGCCTGTGGCTTGTTGACTTGGGGGGGGGCCCTCTGTTCCTTTGTCCTCATGTGCGAAGAGGTTGGCTCCAGGGACTGAGAGCTGGAGAGGAGAAAAACAGGGACGGTTTCTTTCATCTGCTTCCTTCCCAGGGGAAAGAGGGACGGGGGAGACTCGAAGAGAAGCTCCCATCGAGAGGAGAACATGAAATAAAGAATATGTAGAGAGAAGAAACATAAAGCAGAGAAGTTGGGCAGGAGAAGGGTGGGGTGGGGCGCGCTTTCATAGCCTCGGGGAGAAGGGGAATGATGGGGGATCAAAGCAGAAATCGAGGCCTCCAAGCCCTGGGTGCCTTGTTTCACCCATGGCGTAGATTTGAACCAGGCCCGTTTCATTTATATGACAGGGGACTCTCCTGTCCTTACACAGAGGGCCTGGATTAAGGCCTTCAGGATAAAATGGGTGTGGTCAGGTGCAGTCCAGAAGTCTCTCCTCAGCCTGCCGGGGACGGCAGTCCCTATGGGACTAAGTGACTGTAGGTAGATGTGTCTCACTGAAAGCAAGCAAGAGGAAGTGAGAAGCCACTAATCCTGTACTAAGGGGCAAGCGACCACAGGACAAACTAATGTTTGGTTGTCAAAAAACAGATTGATGGTAAGGGTTTGGAGGTCTTTCTTATTTCATACCAGCAAGCATTTATTCAATATCTTCTATTTAAGGTTTTTCCTGATGACATTATTAGCCTATCAGATTAAGAGAGTAGAAAGAAGCTTGTATGGGAAGTGCTGAGCTCTGAAGTCAGGGTTTCCAGCCAGAGATCCTCTGGGTGCATAGCACCCCCTGCTGGATGCACTGACTCTGGCCCCACTCAGGTCTTCCCCAGGTGTTCAGGGAAAACAGTAGACAGGGCTGGGAGGCAGGAGGTACCCCCCCACCACCACCCCAGGAATTGGGCTCAGGGCAGGCCCCAGGTTCCCCAGGGTCAGAAGAAGGTCCTTATTCCTGCATCTCAGACAAGCAGTCTCAGCATCAGAATTAAGGGAATTCATCCAGTGCTCATTTATTCATGAATTCTTATATCACTGAGCACCTCTCATGTGCTTCAAGCTGGGAGACAGTCTCCAATAAGCCAGGCAGTGTTTCTGCTCCCAGGAATGAGGGTGGGGTAGGAGTAGGGTAGGGGTTGGGGCTTATACTCCAGCAAGAGCAACAGATAATTCACAGGAAGATGAGAAGAATTTCAGAAAATGACTAGTAATGAGAAGAAAAAGTAACATGTGATGAGGTAATGGGTGGGGTGGAGGGTGGAGACAGGGAGGCCATCCAAGGCCTCTCTGAGTAGATGACAAATGAGAAGTCAGTCATCGGGGACATCTATCCAGGCAGAGAGAAATGCAAGTGCAAAACTCCAGAAACCAGCCTGGTGTGCCCAATAGGTAGTAAGAGCTCCTATGCATGGCTGGTTCTGGGTGGACTGCAGTTCTGACCTCCATAACCCTTTGAAAGAAGAGGGTCTTCCAGGCCCCACCCCTAGAGATTCTGATTCAATGGAGCATAGGGGGTGGAATGGGGAATGGAGCAGAAATGTGCAGGTTTAACAAGTGTTGGGTAATTCAAGTTCACCTGGCCCTGTAATCACACTGCTCCGGCAGATGGTGACATGGGGTTAATGAGCAGAATCCCAAATTCTAACTAATTTTTGTCCCATTAACTATGCATTTATGATTTGGTCAAAGCTTAGGTCAAATTGCAGCGGCAGAGAAAGCTGGTGCAGGTAGAAGCCTCAGCAACGATTTAGCATAAATGAGGAAATAGCACAGAGATGTTAGGTGGTTTTCCGAAGGTCACACAGCAAGTTCAATCTATTTCAGGGCTCAGAGCAACTGGCAGCTAAGCCCCAAAAGTTTACTTTGTGTGGTCTGGCTTCTGTAGTTTTCTCTGGGAAGAAAAAAATAAAACAACTATAAATAAAATCTCTATAAAGTATGCATTAAATGCCCAGCTTTGCTTAATGTTCCTCCCTGGTATATCCTTCATGACAAATTATTTGCTAAGTATACACCGAGGTAACTAAATGGGAATAGTTGTTGAATGAGGTGTTTATTTATAAACCAACCAACAGCAGGGAGTACTTTGGTTTATAATAGTTGATCTTTAATAATTTTTCTTTATGGCAACGATGAGCCAGTAGGAAAAGTTGTATATTGAGGTCCCTCTGAGCTGGAAATGTCGTCTGTATAATAGAAAAGAATGTGTGTCTTTTTTTTTTTCCAATTAGGGAGTGATGGTGGCAGCAGCATGTATCTGGCACATGTTAAGTAGCAAATTAGCATTAGAGCTGATTGTAGATCTCAGCTTCCTAACCTTCCTGCCTGTCACCATTAGCAGGAGGCAGGAGGCTGCGCTTTGTGCCTCTCATGTTCCGCAGGGTTCCAGGCTCCAGGCTCCAGGCAGGTCCCAGGTCCCCCAGAGTTGGAAGAGAGTCCAGTTCCTCTTCGTGCATCTCAGAAAAGCAGCCTCTGTATCAGAGAAAGTGAATTTGTCCATGTGTTCATTTATTCATTCATAAGTGAATAAATTCACCGCAGCAAAAACCTGGGCACATTCTCTAACAGGGGGTTAAATTGCCCGATTTGCAAATGAATTTACCTGGAAAATCCTTTAATATTTATTTATATGCTTAGCATTTTGCCTTCATCAAAAGACCACAATAACACACAATTAGGGCCGTACCTGAAAGTCTGGGCCAAGTAGACCCAATCAAAACCTAGTCCCCATACCCCCTACACATACCCACAGAGGAAAACAAATAGGTATTGTAAATCTGCAGAGGGGACTGTTTAATCAACTTAATACCACAAAAGCATTTCTGAGGACCCTGGAATATCTGATGTTTATATATAATTGTTTTTCCACTGCTAATTGTTTTCCACCTCTGGAGGGTATTGCCAAAATTAATTTGTAAAATAGCTCTATTTAATTGGCTTAAAGAAAAATAAGCTTTAATATCATCAGCATACTTATGTAAAATTAAAACTTAATTTTCTTGGGCTATGTGTCTATTCTTGATAAGATTGTGAGAGGTTTTCCTTTACCTTTTAGGTAATCTGCCTAGAAAACAAAGATTATGTTTCATCAAAATAATTTCTTATGCTTTATATTGTCTTTACCAGGAGTCTTCTCTATTAAAGGAGCTAAGTTAGTTTCTTTCTTTCTTTTTACAACTATATAACTTTCTATATTTCTCTTTAAAGTCTTTGTCACTTTGGTTAAATGGATAATGTATTGTTCCACAGGGACTTATGGTTCTATTGAATAAAGCATTTTTTAAAACCTTTTGATATTTTTGACAAACTTCCCCCAAATCAAATTCTAAATGAATTCTTGTTGACCTTGAACTAATTTTTGGATATTCCAGAGGGCCCCAGGGACATCTCAAAAGATATGTTCTTTCTCCTTATAAAAGAGGGATATTAAACTAATTAGGCTTATTTGATATGTTAAATTACACGGGAAGCATTGTCAAATAAGTAGTGATGCTAAATTTTCTTTAGAGTGTATTTGCATAAAATTCCTAAAATTTTGATATGTTCTGATATAATGTTATCAGTCATAATTTAAAAATATATGTCACAGGACTAATCAAATTTCCTTGTCAACTGCATTACAATGAACTCTCATCAGACCTTGACCGATGACCATTTTTAAGTCTTTTATCTTTTACAGTTATTGTTTTACTCTGGTGCTTTTGCAAAAGTTCCTGCTGCAAAAGTACTTGTCTTCAAGGAGATTCCTGGAAAGACTGACAAGTACAGACAGGTTTCTGATAACTGAGATACATTTGCCTGCATGTGGGAGGGGCAATAATGGACCTTTCATGTGCTTTCCCAGGGCTACCTGCACAACCCCACAATATGTGATAAAATGGTAGCTTGAGACAGGTGCCTGTCACCTTTCCCCACATCAGTAAAATGGGCCCATTACATTGATGATATAATGTCATTGTGTGGAGACTTGCCTTAGCTGCAGGACACTCTACAGATTTTGCTACAACATCTGCAAGGGAGAGGGTGGGTGGTGAATCCACAGGAAATTCAGGGCCTAGGCACAGCTGTAGTTTTTGGGAGGCCTTTGGCTGGGAAAGATGTATGCTGTCCCCGAGGCTGTGGTTGATAAACTGCAAGCCTGTTCAATCCCTAAGACTGTGAAAGAGGTGCAAGGGACTTGGGGATTTGGGAGGACTTTTATTCCCCACCTGGCACAGTGCCTCTGTCCCTAAGCTGCCTGGTAAAGAAAGGGCAGCATGTGGGACTGGGACTCAGCAACAAGCAGCCTTTGAGAAGGTAAAAATACTAAGTGAAACTGGTCGAAGCTCTGGGCATCAACCAAGCAGGGCTACCCTTTGAATTAGATGTGTCTGTGACACTGGAAGGTATGGGTTGGGCTCTCTGGCAGAGACAACCGGAGAGAGTATCCCTAGGATTTCGGTCCCAGCTCTGGAAGGAGGCAGAAAACTAAAAGCTCCCATATCTTGGTAAACATATCTTGGTAAGAATTTCACTTCCCAACAAGGGGTGGATGGAGAATGTTTCATTGGCTTACCTCTGCCAGGGCTCAAACTCCCACTTTGACAAATGGCATGCCTATTTGCAGCAGAGGAGCACCCTGATCCCCAGCCCACTATCTTGAGAGACGCAGGTGCTGCTAGGCCCTGCAGAGTATGCAGGTATTCCAAATGTCCCCACCCCTATTTCTGTGGTGGCTCCTGTAGCCTGTAGAGAGGGAATGGGGGAATTTTCCACAGACACCTACCTAGTAAACAGATACCAGGAAGCAGGAATAAACCTTGCAGCCAGTGGGCTGAACTCAGAGCGGTTTGGCTGGTGATCACTTATGAACCCTGGCCATTAACCCTTTGCATTGAAAGTTGGGCTGTTATAAAGAGATTAACCTATGGCTTGGACACTGGGAAGCTAGGGGGTGGGATGACCATGAATAAGCCCTCGGGAAGTCAGGATAGGTGGAAAGACATTTTCCTGCAAGAGCCTGAGGCAGTTCTCATTGTCTTCCTTGTCTTGGTCATAATGCTCTAATACCCCTGGCAATCAGGAAGCCCAGGCCCTAGCCCAGGTATGAGCCTTAGCAACTGACCCTTCAGTAGATACAGCAGATTGGGTGCATAGGAAGAGTGGCCACTGTAGTGCCTGGGTGGGATGGCATATTGCTAAGGATGCCAGATTGCCCTTGAAATACAGTGACTTGGTTAATGCAGTAAAAGCAGATCCTGTGTGTTCTAAACAATGCCCAAGACAACTGCCAAAGGAGCCTGGGGCCATTCACTGGAGTTCCCAACCATGAGAGATTGACAAATTGGTTATATGGGCCTGCTCCCTCCAAGTGAGGGTTCTAAATAGGCCTGGGTTTGTGTGGACAGTACATCTGGCCTAACCTAAGCATTCCCCTGCTGCTGTGCAAAGCAGCCTGCCACTGTTATGGGGCTAGAGAAGCTGAGTTCCATCTATGGATACCCAGGGTGAATGGACAGTGATTGGGGCTGTTACATTTCGAAGGTCATCATGTAGAAGACCGGGCAAAAGAACATGACATTGAATGGAGGACCCCTAAAACCTTGCAAGCAGCATGGTTAGCCGAAAGGAAAAACGGAATATTAAAGCAACAGACTAAATTACTCACAGGTAAAACCGCCGCGGCTATGTGGACACTGAGAAGGAAGATACTTTCTAAGAAAGACGCCAGGTGGCTAACTGGGCTGAAATGTGAAAACAGAGCCTAGGGGCCACTTCTAAACAGCGTCCCTCCCCGAGCTGCCCTTCAGGGGGAGCCAGCACTGCCCTCCAGGCCTCTGAGCCAGCCCTTATAAAGGGGCCCCTGGAATCCGATTTCAACCAGTAGGACTGAGACTTCCCCATCCAATCGGAGCCCTGTGACCATGGCCTCATGTGGGTTTTCTCCTGCCCGCAGAGCGGCTCCACTCCAGCCAATCAGGACAGTGCTTTTTGGACCGAGGTGCTGTGAGGATGCCGAGTCCTCATTTGCGGGGATCGGAAGCGGGAACTTCTGGCTTGGGGAGCTCACTTTCTTTCCGTAGAAGACCTGAGCGGGCTGGAGGGAGCCCGCGCTTCCCGCCTGAGAGCCGCCCCGCCGCCTAGCAGGTCCCGGGCTGTGCTATTTCGTAATTGAGCTCTAACACCATTGAGCTAGCTGTTCCCAGCTGTGACTGTCATAATTGACCTGTTTGCACGGAATAGTTTCCTCCTTCCCTGCACCCCAAACTGTGGGTTGGATTCCTGTTGGACTTGAACTGGCTCCAAGGGCTGCCCGGGATGGGTAAGTTACTTGGTACCCCAGGGCGAGGGGGAGCTACTCAGTCTCCACTGGGACCCCATTGCCCCGCTGCCAGCTGGACCCGGTGAAATGTGCTCTACGTGGGCGGAACACACACTGTTGAAAGAGGGGAGAAAGTGGGGGTAGTGGTCACGCATATCCTATCCCCAAGTCCATGTTCTCACACCTGACTGCGCTGCCTCCCCAGCCACATGTATGTTATGCACAACCAGGTCAAGCTCCTAAAGCTGCCAGCCTCCCTCTTCTCAAGGCCAGGTGGGCACTTCTTTTTCCCATTGGTACAATCATTTGGCCACTGTCTTTGTCCCTTCCTTTGGCCTGGAGGACTTAGAGCACACACAGAAGCCCAACATGCCTTCAGTGATAGCCGGCAAAGCCAGCCTTGACTGAGCACGGAAACGTCTCTGTGAAAAGCTGTCCTCCAAAATAGGATGGCCTTGACATTATCACTGCCTTGCAGGAAAGCACTTGTGCCATCATGGAAACAGATGTTGTGTATTCATACCTGATGAGTTCGTTAATGTGTCATCTTCAGTAAGCCACATGAAGACACAAGTGAAAGCCCTGAGTGATCTAAACCCCAGCCGAGAGGACTTCATAAGTCGTCAGTGGTTTGGATCATGAGGCTTTCTGTGGAGAGATGGTTACTTATTTTGCAAATCACTATCTCAATCAGTATTTTCTCTTTAATGTGCTTATACTATTGTTGTGGTAGCTGCCTCCAATGCAGCCAGACACCTGCAGAAAGGAAGCCACCTTCATGCTATTGAAACCCCTCTCGGGGCACACGCAGAAGAGGGGGTCGTGTAAGATTGTAAGGGCTGTCACGAGGGTGGAGCATTGCAGGAGGTCATCCATTGGATATGACTGTCTGCTGACCTGAGAGCTGGCCCAGGCAATCAGATGCTCCTTTCCCCTTCCCATGTCCTTAAAATGTACACTTCACCTGCCTCTCCCACTCTAGAAGCTGCCTCAAGGTCACAGCTTTGAGATAGTAAAGTTTCGCTGAGACCACTTGGGTGACTGAACCCAGTTAAAGCTTCTATATAACCTTTTAAGATTCTGGCAAGCAGATGTGTGTGTATGTAATGGGGAAAGTGGGATAGAAATGCTTTACCCCTTCCTAAATTTGGGAAGAAATGTTTTGGATCTGCTTTTTGAAGTTGTGTTTCAGAGGCAAATGTGCCTGAGTTCAAGTCCCAGCTCCGGCACGTACTAGCTTGTAACGTGGTTAGGGCACTTTGCTTTTGTGAACCTGTACCCTCATCTGTAGATCAGGAGTAACAACAGCACAGGCCTGCCAAGATGGATGGCAGAGTTAAGTCAGACGATAAGGCACCCTCACTCAGGTCCTGACCTATGACAGATTCTTAGTTAGTTTTGGCACCCATTTTGGAAACCCTATGCCCCGCTCAGGCAGCCATATAGGCAGGGGTCCGGGACCTCTGGGATGGCACATGCATGAGGTTGACTAGCCTCTGTCATTTGTGTTTACTGTTTCTGCTCTTTGAGCTCCCTGATCAATAAACCACTGATTTAATGTCACATGTTGCCTCGGAGGGCATCCGGACACTGATCTCAGTTTGGATCTGGTTTAGCAAGAAGGCTGATGGGATAGAGAAATATTCCGGAGTAGATACATACCAAGAGGGACATTCCCTAAACTGCCACCTTCGCCACCATGTCCCAAGGAGCATTATTTAAGCTTGGCATACCCTGGGGACACCAGGTTGGCTCAATAAGGCTCCTCCATGTGGCTCTGCCCCAGTTTGGCAGTGTGCATCGGGTTGTCCACGGGAACTTTCTGTTCCTTAACTCCTGATGAGGGTTTAGCATCATTGATTCAGTAGGTTCCAGTCTTTTGATCTCTGGCAGGCCAAGCCACACCTACCTGCTAGCAGGGGCTGACTTCCAGTGGATTTTCAGGAAAACAGAGGTAGGTGGCTGGAAGCCCAATCCTTTGCTCCCACCTATAGCTCCAGCTGTGCTTCCATCTGGCATATACTGGGGCAGAAAACACACACACACGCACCCAAAGGGAATGCAGCCAGCCCTACCTGGAACCCCAGATGTCTTTTATTTTTTTTTCTTCCCTCCAGCTAGAATCTCCTGCAGGCTCTGACTGGGTAGGGGCTACTTGTTGCTCTTTCCCTGGGGCTCCAAGGGGTGGCCTGGCTTTTCTGTTTCAGGAAGGGGTTCCTGCTCCCTGGAGGCCCCCCTCCCTGCTGGCAGGCAGCAGCATAGGTGCCGTGGCTTTAGACTGCTCTTTTCCTTCCCCGTTCCCAGCATCTCCCCTCTGGAAACCCCAGTCTGAGCCTGGCCCGGGGCACCCACATTGATGCAAAGGAATGCGCTTCCACCCGCCTACCTGGCTCATGGGAGTTTATCAAGTGTCTTTCTGCCATCTGTGGGGGGAGGGCGGGGTGTCACGTCCTCACTCCAGGGCTGGCTTTCCACCTTCGGGGTTGAAGCCCCCACTAGCGATCTCCAAAACAAGGCTGGGAAGAAACTTTCGCGGGGTCCCCAGCCCCCACCAGGCCTCGCCCCCGCGCTCCCCGCCGCGCCCTTCCCCCAGCAGCCTGGTGGAGGAGGGGGAGGGAGGCCAGCTCGCTCCCAGCGCTCAGGGTCTTGCATTTCTTCCCGCAGGCAGGCGGGCAGGCGGGCAGGCACGCGGGGAGAGACGAGCCCCCGCCCGAGCCCCCCAACCCCGCGCCCGGAGTCCAGCCTCGGGGTCTGTCCTCGCCTCTCCGCGGCCGCGCGCTGCCTCCTCTCCGAGGCGCTAGCCGCGGCCGCCGGCTTTTGGATTCTTGCCCAGAAAAGGGGCCTGAAGGAGGAGAAGAGGAGGGA